TCTCCTGCCTCAGCCTCCCGAGTAGTTGGGACTACAGGCGCCCGACACCACGCCCGGCTAGTTTTTTGTATTTTTTAGTAGAGACGGGGTTTCACCGTGTTAGCCAGGATGGTCTGGATCTCCTGACCTCGTGATCCGCCCGTCTCAGCCTCCCAAAGTGCTGGGATTACAGGCTTGAGCCACCGCGCCCGGCCGGCTCTCACTTGTAAGTGAGAACATACAATGTTTTGTTTTCCATTCCTGAGACTCAGCTATTATGAATTCGGTTCTTTCAGTTATTTTATTGATGTAGTATTCAATCTACCTCTGGGTTCCATTAATTATAATTTTAATGTGTTTTTCACTTCTAATAACTCTTCTCAGATTGCTCATTTTTCTTTTTTCTTTCTTTCTTTTTTTTTTTTTTTGAGACGGAGTCTTGCTCTGTGGCCCAGGCTGGAGTGCAGTGGTGCGATCTCAGCTCACTACAAGCTCCGCCTCCCGGGTTCACGCCATTCTCCTGCCTCAGCCTCCCGAGTAGCTGGGACTACAGGCGCCCTACACCTCGCCCGGCTAATTTTTTGTATTTTTAGTAGAGACGGGGTTTCACCGTGTTAGCCAGGATAGTCTCCATCTCCTGACTTCGTGATCCGCCCGCCTCGGCCTCCAAAGTACTGGGATTACAGGCGTGAGCTACCGCGCCAGGCCTCTTTCTTTTCTTTTTTTTTTTTTTTTTTGACAGAGTTTTTGCTCTCGTTGCCCAGGCTGGAATGCAGTGGCATGATCTTGGCTCACTGTAACCTCTGCCTCCTGGGTTCAAGCGATTCTTCTGCCTCAGCCTCCTGAGTAGCTCGGATTACAGTCAAGCGCCTCCATTTCCGGCTGATTTTGTATTTTTAGTAGAGACCAGGTTTCTCCATGTGGCTCAGGCTGTTCTCAAACTCTCGACCTCAGGTGATCCACCCACCTCAGCCTCTCAAAGTATTAGGATTACAGGTGTGAGCCACCGCACCCAGCCCTATTGCTCTTTTTTCTCGGAAGACCCACTTGTTTTACGGATGCAAGTTTTCAACAAATCTCCCTGAAAATGTAAATTAGATAATCGTTGTTTGTTTGTCTTTTTTTGTTGTTGTTATTAGGTTGGTTTGTTTCCACCTGTTTCTTTCTTTTCTTTTCTTTTCTTTTTTTTTTTGAGACGGAGTTTCACTCTTGTTACCCAGGTTGGAGTGCAGTGGCGTGATGTCGGCTCACTGCAACCTCCACCTCCCGGGTTCAAGCAATTCTCCTGCATCAGCCTCCTGACTAGCTGGGATTACAGGCGCCCGCCACCACACCGAGCTAATTTTTTGTATTTTTAGTAGGGATGGGGTTCCATCACATTTGCCAGGCTGGTTTCGAACTCCTGACCTCAGGTCATCCACCCACCTCAGCCTCCCAGAGTGCAGGAATTACAGGCCTGAGTCACCATGCTCGGCCTTCTACCTGTTTCTTGCATTAACATTTAATGAGGGGTATTTTTCTCTGAATACACAGACTATCTCTCCCACTGTCTTGACATATGAAGGGCATCGTTTTTCTAGTTTGTCAATGATTTGTGTAATTAACGTTTAATTGCTTTGTTTTAGACAAAGAGACAAAAAAGGAGAAAAATGAGAATTAGACTAAAGTTTATGTTATTGAAAAATTTCTTTGACAACTTAGAGAGTTAACTGTTTTCATAGGATTGTGATTAAATAGGGGGAGACAGTTAAAGTCACTACAGGGAAAGACTCCCATTGGAGGCCTGATTTGATAGTAAAGACAGCTTCTTTTTTTTTTTTTGAGACGGAGTCTCGCTCTGTCGCCCAGGCTGGAGTGCAGTGGCGCTATCTCGGCTCACTGCAAGCTCCGCCTCCCGGGTTTACGCCATTCTCCTGCCTCAGCCTCGCGAGTAGCTGGGACTACAGGCGCCCGCCACCTCGCCCAGCTAATTTTTTTGTATTTTTAGTAGAGACGGGGTTTCATTGTGTTAGCCAGGATGGTCTCGATCTCCTGACCTCGTGATCCGCCCGTCTCGGCCTCCCAAAGTGCTGGGATTACAGGCTTGAGCCACCGCGCCCGGCCAAGACAGCTTCTTATTACTGACTGCAAGGTACTCCCCTTGTTATTGTTCTCCATTTCTCTATTTCTCTATTTCTATTTAGGAGGCTGACCCTTCTTCCTGGAGACAATTTATTCACTGTTTGAGAAATTCCATGGTATCCCTTTGTAGAGGTGAAAGGTTCCTTTTCCTCACTTATTGCTAGGTTCATGGCACCTATAATAAAACATAGAGTAACAAGAGAATAGCATCCAAATTTATTTAATAGAAGTTACCTGAACAAACAGACCTTGTTAAATTCTACTCAGCTTATTACCATTAGATTATACCCTTTTGTTCTCCAATCATACTTCTGCATAACTGTCCATAGAAATATTCAGTTTGTCCTGTGTCTTCATTTCAGAAGGCTTTCTTGTCATAAAACATTTATATGCTTTTGTTTTGTTCATCTGTCTTTTGCTGTAGGCGTCTCAGTCATGAACCTGGTGATGGGCAAGGAAAAGATATTACTTTTTCTCCCCTACATTGGACAAGGGGAGTGTGATCTAATGGTAATAAACTGGAGGGAACTTAGCAGGGCTAATTTGTTCAGATTCTTCTTGGCATCTCTGTGTCTTCAAAGATAAGGATGTTTCTTTCCTCTGGGAAAGGATACTTCTAGAATAAGGGTCTTATGATCTGCTTCAGGGCAGAAAGATGCAGAAAGGTGTGAGAGTGAACTTCCTGATCCTGCTGTTTTCTCAAATGCCAAGAATCCATATTTTGGGGCTGCGTGTCCTGAACCTCCTACGTTGCCTTCCAACCACTGCATTATAGAACTGAAAGACTGATGAATGTTGAGGTTAAGATCCACATTACCACTTTGCAACATGTCTACAAAAACTTAGTAAAACTTTCGTGGCAGCTTAAGTAAGGCGGGAAGCTCATTTATGTACTCTCCTTGAGCTCTCTTCCATTTTGATAGGTGTTAGACCGTGAGAACTGCAGAACCCTCATCATATAACAACTCCTCCCAAATCTCTGCACTAGAGACTTGGCAAACTCTAGCATGCCTTCTAGCAGCTTACGGCAAGGTCCATACGATGACTCAGCTCTACTTAAAATGCCAGCTAAGGAAGCCCAATGCTGCTAGGAGAATTTACTTTTTGTTCCAGTCAAAACTTGGTAACAGATAGGCTCCCGAATTCCTTTTAGAGCAGTTACTTTAGAAATCTTACAGTTAGACCAGGTGCCTGTAATCCCAGCACTTTGGGAGGCCAAGGCGGGACGATCACCTGAGGTCGGGAGTTCAAGAGTAGCCTGATCAACATGGAGAAATACCATCTCTACTAAAAATACAAAATTAGCCAGACGTGTTGGTGCATGTAATCCCAGCTACTCAGGAGGCTGAGGCAGGAGAATCGCTTGAACCCAGGAGGCGGAGGTTGCGGTGAGCCAAGATCATGCCATTTGCACACCAGCCTGGGCAACAACAGCAAAACTTCATCTAAAAAAGAAAAAGAAAAAGAAAAAGAAAAAGAAATCTTACCGTTAAATTCTTTCTCTGCCCTTTGAGAAGCAAATCTACCACACAGAACTCTTTCTTCAAGGACTTGGGAGCTGTTTCTTTGAAATGCAAACATTCAGGGAGATAAATCTTGCTCTTTCTTTCATATGGAGCATAAGGACCAACTGAGCTGGGTGCTTCACTTCAACTATATCACCATGTCCTTCTGTCATATAGAGAGGCGAAGTTTCTCTCCCCTCTGGATAAGGGCCAATTAACAAATCCAGAGGGTCTAGTCACATTAACCTTCCTTAACATCACTCGGTATCTTTTCCTTAGCACACTCCACTTTAAAATGTCATCGGCTTTACTTTTGGGGAAGTTGAGTTCAGTTCAACAGGAAACAGTGCAGCTGTTTCCTATTGCAATAGTATTACCGAATAAAACCTGTCCTCACCACATTAACTAGTATCCAGATTTGTTGATCTTTGACAACACACAGATGTCTCCTGCACTCTACTGGCTTCAAGATCTGGTAAATGAGTTGAACACCTCTTCAGTTTCCAGCAATGTTAGGTGTTTTCTATATTTCTTTGATTTGATCATTACTATGGAAACTGGAAGAGAGGGAAAAATAATCAAATATCTGGCATAATATTTCAGTCCCAACACCTTCCATAAGCTGTTCCTTGCAATATAAGTGTATGGAATGATGAAAGAGGCAGTGTAGCATAACAGAAAAGATCATGAGTTTTGCAGCAAGAGTCAGCTTTGATTTGATTCCTTGCTCTAAATTTTTAAAATTAGCTTCTTAAACCTGAGAAAGAGACTAAATTTTCTGTCTCATTTTTTCGTTTGAAAATAGAAATAATAATGCCTACTATATAGACTTGGAAAAGTGAGATTGAACAAGAAAACATATGCAACATGTGGTTCCTAACTCATAGTAATTGTTCAATAAATAATTGTTATTTTGTGTTATTAATATCTGATAATTCTCAAAGAGATTTGTTTTCTCTGTCTCTCTGTCTGTTGTTACAACAATGCACCTCCTCATGCCATCCCTCATTTACCTGTCTATATATTTCCTCTATTAGGCAATGTCTTTCTTCTTAGGTATCATTTTTCCTTGTATTCTAAGCTCCCGCCAATTGAAAAGGTGGATATTCAGTACCTGTTTATGTAATTTAAAAAATACATGAATACATACATGAACAAAGTTACAACAAAGTTATGGTAAACTTAGAGCACCAAAACTGTAATAGTTTGCATAGGTTAAATTAATTAATGTCAGATTTAGTTGTGAGAGTAATGAAGGCAGCATAAGACATTAATTTATGCATTTTTTCTTACATTTGGTCTGAAACAAAGACTTATCTGCTATGCTACCTTTCAGTTTTCCTGAGTCAGCAGTCTCAGAAACAGGATCTAAAGGTACAAATGGAAAATTACCACAGCATAGTTTCATTTCCTGCTCTTGAATATCTGGCTGAACTACTTAAGCTTAATTTGTTAAACCCCAGTAAGTACCTATCCCACATGATTTGACTCAGAGATTCTCTTTCCTCCACAGGCAGTCATCTCAGGAGCAGAAAGAACAGAGCTCCCAAATGCTATGTCTATTCATGGGCTCTCAAGAACAATGGACTATCATCCTGATTTAGAAAATTTGGATGAAGATGGATATACTCAATTACACTTCGACTCTCGAAGCAATACCAGGATAGCTGTTGTTTCAGAGAAAGGTATATATATATATTTTTTTTTTCTAATGTATGCCTTTAGCTCTCCCATTTGAAAAGATCCAAGGGGAGGCTGGGCACAGTGGCTCACGCCTATAATCCCAGCACTTTGGGAGGCCAAGACGGGTGGATTGACTGAGGTCAGGAGTTTGAGGCCAGCTTGGCTAATGTGGTGAAACCCCGTCTCTACTGAAAACACAAAAATTACCCAGGCATGGTGGCACACGCCTGCAGTCCCAGCTACTTGGGAGGTTGAGGCAGGAGAATCATCTGGACTCGGGAGGTGGAGGTTGCAGTGAGCCGAGATCACGCCCCTGCACTCCAGCCTGGGTGACAGAGCAAGACTCCATCTCTGAAAAAAATAAAAACAAACAAACAAACAACAAAACAAAACAAAAAGATATAAGGGGAGAAAATTTGAGAGGCTTGTGATGTGTACATTTTTATGGATATACTTTTAAAGGGCTTCAGATGTCAATGAAGATAATTTGAATGCACCCTAAACTTTTTTTCATGAAAATTATTCAGTGACTAATTATTAGTATTTAAATTAATTATGTCTGATGGCAGAAAATACAATTTCTATTTTATATAGATATAGACATTTCATCAGTGAGGAATCGGTAATAAGTGGGATAATACACAAAGATAAAGGATTTCCGTATGAGTGACTTGTTGCTTGTTTGATAGAAAGGCTAGATTATTGAATGGAGGCCAGGAAACTTAAAGAAGTATATATATGAACAACATGTTTTTTTGTGGTAAGAGATTAAATTGTTTTTAAACAAAAAACAATTATTGGTATACCAGTGAAGGAAAATATATTAATATATGGTGGATAAAAACATCCCATTGGCAGGACATGAGTCTTAAACAAAAAGTAAACGAAATGAAATAGAAAGAAGGGCTTTGGAGGATCTCTGTATTCACAGAGTGGGTGATTTCGCCTACTCTATGTGACACTTCTATGAAATGTCCTGACAGCTTAGTCTCAGTGGAAAGCAGAAATACATTCTGGTTATGGCAATGTTAATACAAAATTAGTTCCCTATTTTCTTTGAGAGAGAGATAGATCATTTGTTGGTTTTGACACCAGAGTTTGCTTTCTTCTGCTTTCTGATTCTTCACATTGCACAAATATTTTCCTCTCAGTACTGATGTAATTCTTTTCTTGGGCAGCCTATTGAGGAAGGGTGGAAAAAGTGGGTGAGGCAAGAGGTAGGGAGACATGTGCATGTTTATGCATATCTATAGGCAAACGGTATCCTGTAACAACACACCTATAATGTGCTAGCAGTGGCTAAACGAGGTGCTTTTATACGTGTTAGCTCATTTAATTCCCACAATAATCCTTTGAGATATTATTACCCCAGTTTCATAAAGAGGAATAAAAAACAACAAAGGGAGTAATTTGCCCTGGGTCATGCAACAAACATATGAAAAGGGAAAATTACCCTTAGTAATCATTGCTCTCTTCCCAACATTAAGCTATTTCCTCTAAGAATCAGTGGGATTTCAGGGATCCTACTAATGTCGTGACCTGTAGATATCAATGTGGAGCTGAAATTAGGAGCATACAGATATCAAGGCAATGTGCTGAAATTATAATTGAAGAAGAGGTATCCTTACCAGGGGAGAAAAACACAGCGAATCCTTGATGACTAGGTAACCTAGGCAGTGATTAATAATTCACTTTAAAATTTGCCAGTATTTTTTGTTATTGTTGTTTTGTGTTCTGTTTTTTTTTTTTTTTAACAGGGTATCGCTCTGTTGCCCATGCTGCTCTGGAATTCCTGGGCTCAAGCGATCCTCCTGCCACAGCCTCCAGAGTAGTTGGGACTACAGGAGCTCACCACCATGCCCAGCTAGTTAAATTTTTTCTTTCTTCTTTTTTTTTCTTTGGTGGGGACAGAGTCTCCCTGTGTTGCCCAGGCTGGTCTTGAGCTTCTGGCCTCAAGCAATCCTCCTACCTCTGTCTCCCTTCTGGGATTACAGGTGTGAGCCACTGTGCAAGGCCAGATTTTTGATGAACTGTAGAACTGAAGTGCCCCACCTTCTGTCATTCTCTTTCTTTATTCCATTTCTGCCCCCTCTGGCTCCTCAGGATCTTGTGTTGCATCTCCTCCTTGGCGCCTCATTGCTGTGATTTTGGGAATCCTATGCTTGGTGATACTGGTGATAGCTGTGGTCCTGGGTACCATGGGTGAGTATTTGGTGGAGAAGATCAACAACAACAATAACAACAACAGACAATTTAGTAAGCAATTATTATGTGCCAGGCACTCTTTTAAGGGCTTGACATGCATAATCTACTTTAATTTGTATGTAATCTGGTTTTGTCTGTATTGGGTTGGAGCTGTTAATGCCCATTTCACTTATAAAGGGTGTGAGAGACTGAGAGGTTATTTTTCCTTTCCAGGGTTATAAACTAGTTAGTGGTGGGACCATGATTAGAAATTTAGGCGATCTGTCTAAAAAACTCATACTCTTAACTACATTGCTCTCCTACCTCCCTTGCATAGCTGGTTTCAAAGCTGTAGAATCCAAAGGATAATAAATTAATGGAAGGAAACACATGGAGCTGAAGAAGAAAGTACAATATGGTGCTGTCTTCCTAATGAAATAAATTCACTAAATAGACATTAAGCTGTTTTTATGAGTCATATTATTTAGGGAACTTATTTCTGATCTTTAATATAAACACCTTTGCATAGACCAGAAATTTCCTGAGGCACTTGGTCTTAAGTCGGTATTTTGTAATGGATGAATTGTTTTTTAGATTTTATATCACATGCAATCTGTTGTTAAACACCTTCAGAGAGTCTTCATGACATTCCTTAATTAGTCAGATGCACTTAGTCAAGTGCATTCTATGTTATAGGTACTGGGCAGTTTCTCAAGGACCTCTCATTTTTAAGTAATAGAAGAAAGGTGAAAGATGTTGCTATTTCAAATCTGCCATGGGTCCAGTTAACTCTATGACATTTGCCTCTTGCTGCCTCCCTCGTTCTATTTCTTCTTCTCTACATTCTTATTTCTTTTTAACTATACCTCCGTTATGAAAGTTATTTATTTCTTTTCATCTATCCTATCAATCATCTTTACTTCTCCACAGCAATATATCATCTATTTATCATTAATCAATAATGTATTCTTTTATTCCAATAACATATGGGTTTCGGGATTTTCATTTTCAAACACAGAAGAATGACTTTTTTTCTGTCACTGTTATTGTTGGGATATGAAGCTATTTGGAGACCCAATTCAGGAAGAAACTCATTGGAGAATGGCTACTTTCCATCAAGAAATAAAGAGAACCACAGTCAACCCACACAATCACCTTTAGAAGAGAGTGTGACTCCTACCAAAGCTGTCAAAACCACAGGCAAGGGCATAGTTAAAGGATGGAATCTTGATTCAAGAGGGTTAATTGTTGGTGCTGAGGCCTGGGGCAGGGGTATAAGGAAAATATGCTTAGATTCAATGATTGTACATTTAAGGCAAGCACACATATTAGTATTAACTTAGTGTAATATATCCCTGTCATATATACAATAAGGTGAAATTATAAGTACTCTATGCACTTGGCTGAACGGTTCTAAATTGGACTTTATTAATTTTTAAAATCAGTAACCGATTTATCACTGGCTATGTGCTTAGATCTACAGGAGATCATATAATTTGATACAAATAAAAGAAAAGTGTTCTCTCCCCTTACAGAATTGAGATTTTTAATGCGATACAGTTAGAATAGAAAATATGACATTAGAAAGGAAGAATGACAGGGAGAAAGGAAAGAAGGGAAAATGTTGCCAAGAATAAAGAAGCTATATTAAAAATATACAAAAGAGGTAGACCTAATACACATGTTCCTGAAAACTCATCAAATTTGTTTAATCATACAATTTCATTTACTTAATTACAATTCTATATACACTTGACCTTTACTTCTAATTGCATCATAATTGACTATGACTTAATGTTTTCACTTCAGTTTTTCATCTCTGGTCCCATACCTCCTCACTATTTTTATTAAGTAGCTAATAACATATAAGAGAGAGAGTATGTAATATGAATAACTGACCTATACTTTTTTCATTTGGAAAGTCACATTCTGAAGTAGATCTTACATCATAAAATAAGTTAAGTAGCAATATGAAATTGCTGTGTACCTCAATGATTGATTGTGAGTGGAATTATTTTAAGGAGTTATTAAGGAGAAAGGTAGTTTTGAGCTAAATTAGAAGGAATAGAAGACAAATCAAGAAAAAAAGGATAGTTGGCTGCCTAAAATACTATTTATAGCTAATTCATTTTTAAATTCTAAATGAATAGGAAGATTTGAATGTATTCTCATCTGTAAAATCATATCACTGTAGTTTGAATTGAAAATGAAATATAATAATGGCAACTCATTGGTTTTTTCATAAGTGTCCTTAAGATGAATGTTGTTCATACTAAAAGAGTGAATTGGTGTGCTATGAACCTCATGGTACTAATCTTTTATTTCCAGGGGTTCTTTCCAGCCCTTGTCCTCCTAATTGGATTATATATGAGAAGAGCTGTTACCTATTCAGCCCGTCACTAAATTCCTGGGATGGAAGTAAAAGACAATGCTCGCAACTGGGCTCTAATCTCATAAAGATAGACAGCTCAAAGGAATTGGTAAGTGTAAACTTCTGTTGTAATTATCTGTGGTCTGTATCCAGAAGGAAAATAGAGGGAGATTCCAGGTAATAACAATTTTTCCTAAAATGAAGTCTTTTTTTTTTTTTGAGGCAGAGTCTCACTCTGTTGCCCAAGCTGGAGTGCAATGAAGCCTCGACATCCCAGGCTCAAGGGATCCTCCCACCTCAGCCTCCTGAGTAGTTAGGACTAGAGGGGGCACCACCATGCTCATCCAATTTTTTTTTTTTTTGGTATTTTTCGTAGAGATGGAGTTTCTCCATATTGTCTAGGCTCGTGTCAAACTCCTGGGCACAAGCGATCTGTCCATCTTGATCTCCCAAAGTGTTGGGATTACAGGTGGAGGCCACCACACTTGGCCAAAAGTCATTTTTAATATCTCTATAATTATAATCATAGCATGCCTTAAGCACATAAAGTGCATAATATATACTTTTATTTTTAACTAATTTTATTTATTTATTTTTAACTAATTAAAAAAAAAACTGTATTTCACCTTGAAACAAATCCTTTCAAACACACTCCATGTATGCATGACTGCAATAATCAGGCCATTACCCGTTTTGTGCGTTTGTATTTCAATTGTTAAATTTGGTGGAGTAAAGTAGAAAATTCTCCTCCTTGTCATCATAATTATCAAGAAAATGGCAACAATGATAATATATGTTTAGAAATTATTTACTCTTTGCAAGATACTGGGAAAGGCAAAGAGGGTTAAAAAATAACCCTGCTATCACAGGACACATATAATCTTCTAAGTAAAAAAAAATGCAACTCAGCAGCTATTAAAAGTTAAATATCTGGCATTGGCAATAAATGCTATAGGAGTTTAAAGAGATCCCCGTGTTCCTAAGAAGTTTTCAGAAAAAGTGGCACTTGAATGAAGGGTAGAGCTTAGATGAGGTACGAGAAGGGGTTTATAGGAAACATTCTACATTATAAATCTAAACCAGTCTTTAACTTCTACATCTACTCTCACTATTCTAATTTTGTTTTTGTTTCTGTAATGCCTTACTCAGTAGTAATAATTTTTTTAAAGTTAATGGAACTACATGTATGGCAAAGAAAGAGTATTGGGTTACAAGTCTATCTGACTTTTAGGCCAGCCTATAATTGAAAATAAATTGTTATAGATTTGTAAACAATTCAGATATCTTCGCTGAATCTCAGATTACTTATTCATAAAATATGCAGTTGGACTAAATCATTTTTAAGTTTTTATCTAACTCTGAGAAATATTTCTTAACAAAAGTAGCATCAATTTATTTCTTCAATTGGAGAAGACAATGGCTAATCACCCATGAAAACTGCCTAGGGGGCCTGTCATCTGGGATTTTGTCAGATAGGTTGAATGGAGGCAGTACAATCTTCACATTATAAATCTATTCTTTCGGAAAATTAAATGATAATTACTTTAAATAAATAAGGTAGGCCTTTTGAGACATTCAATGACAGGTTGATGCCAGGTTAGGCATGCATTCTTTACCAAAGTGATTCGATCAGTTGTCTTTTTCTCAGTGTCCATGATAATGGTGTTTCTCTCTCTCTCTGTTATATATTTGTATATGTTTTGTTACAGGGATTTATAGTAAAACAAGTGTCTTCCCAACCTGATAATTCATTTTGGATAGGCCTTTCTCGGCCCCAGACTGAGGTACCATGGCTCTGGGAGGATGGATCAACATTCTCTTCTAACCTGTAAGTGTTTGGAGAGACAATGCTTCATCCTCTTTCTCAGAGAAGTTTCCACCTCATCTATGAAAACCTCTGTCAAGCATCTAAGAACCTGATTTGCTGACCATATATGAGAAAGAGAGAGAGAAAGATATAGAAGAAGAGAAAGAGTGAGCTACAACAAAAGGAGAAAGATGAGGAGAACCTTAGAGTGAAAAGGAGCGAGGCCATCTAGCAGCATCAACACAGCTGTTTTTCTAGTTTTCTTACCAGGGAGGCATCCAACATGTTTGAAGTTGTCCAGGCAAGGAGCAGTCACTGTCAGTCAGTGTAACCCCCTGGTTAAGAACATGGGCTTTGAAGCCAGACCTCAGTTTGGGTTAATGATTACCCCACTCACTGATCGTGTGACATTGGGGATAAGTCACTTTTCCTCTATGAGTTTCATTTTCCATAAATAAGAATAGAAAATTACTCTTGGCCAGGTGCGGTGGCTCACACCTGTAATCCCAGCACTTTGGGAGGCCCAGGTGGGTGGATCACTTGAGGTCAGGAGTTTGAGACCAGCCTGACCAACATGGTGAAACCCCATCTTCACTAAAAAATGAGCCAGGTGTGGTGGCATTTGCCAGAAATCCCAGCTACTTGGGAGGCCGAGGCAGGAGAAATGCTTTGACCTGGGAGATGGAGGTTGCAGTGAGCTGAGATTGCACCATTGCACTCCAGTCTGGATGACAGAGTGAGACTCCAGTGAGACTCCAACTCAAAAAAAAAAAGAAAGAAAGAAAGAAAGAAAGAGTACTTTCCTCTTCGAATTGTGAGATGGGTATAAAAGTAAAATAATTTAGCACAGTGTCTTGTACATAGTTAATGAGCGATATTATTAAGTTAAAAAGCAACCACATTTTCACATTTTGCATTTTAAAAAGATATTTTAAACGTATTTCACATTCGCACGATTATACATTATTCCTTATTATGTGTTGGTCTTTGTCACTGCAGTTGTCATTCATTTGCTTTTTAATATCTGCAGAATATGAAATATGTCCCTTTTAAGTTCTTATTATTAGTATGTGTGTGTGCACACCTGTGTGTGTTTTTTCATCTCAGTAGGAGTATGGTTTGATTTAGTTTTTCAAAGAAAATAACTTTTGACTTTGTTGACTCTGCCTCTTTTTATTATTTCTTTCATTAACTTTGATTCTAGTCTGTATTACTTCCTTCCATCTAATTTATTTTTATTTTATTTTATTTTTTTGAGACAGAGTCTTGCTCTATTGCCCAGGCTGGAGTGCAGTGGCGATCTCAGCTAACTGCCGGCTCTGCCTCCTGGATTCATGCCATTCTCCTGCCTCAGCCTCCCAAGTAGCTGGGACTACAGGCTCCCACCACCACGCCTGGCTAATTTTTTGTATTTTTAGTAGAGACGGGGTTTCACCGTGTTAGCCAGGATGGTGTCAATCTCCTGACCTAATTTATTTGTTTTAAATTTGCTATTCCATCTCAAACTTCTTGTATTGGGTGCTTGACTCATGAATTTAAGCCTTCCTTTATCTCAAGTATGTAGATTTAAAGGCTATAATTTTAATGTATTTTCATTGTCATTCAGTTCAAAATACTTTCTGATTTCCACTGTGAGTTGCTCTTTGACCCCGGAGTTATTTAGAAATGTATTTCTTAATTTACAAACATATGTGTTTCTAGTTATCTCTTTGTTTTAGGTTTCAGGCTTAGTTCCACTGTGATCAGAGAACATGCTCCACGTGCTTGCAGTTCTCTGATTTTTATGTGCTTCTTCCTCTTTCCATATGAAAAGAATTGTGTTGAAATCTTCCGCTGCGATTCTACTTATAGTTCTGTAAACATTTGATTCGATGTGTTGAAGCTGTGTTATCAGGCACATAAAGATGTAGAATTGTTACTTTTTTTCCCTTTCTTTCCTCCTTTTTGGACTGATTTAACACTTTTTCTTATTTTTTTTTCTTTTCATTTGTAATGTGCTCTTTCGTGTCTTTTACATCTCTTTTTCTAATCTTTTAGTAGTTTTCCTAGGAATTACACATGTATACTTCACTCATCAAAGACTAATATTAACTGACATTTTTATGTACTTCCTGACCAATATAAAAATCATAGAGCATTCCTTTACTCTGTTGACTCCCTCCTCCATTTATATGCTATTATATTAATGTATTTATTTTTATTTATTTATTTTTATTTTATCTCCCAGGCTGGAGTGCAGTGGCGCAATCTTGGCTCTCTGCAACCTCTGCCTCCTGGGTTCAAGTGATTCTCCCACCTCAGCCTCCAGAGTAGCTGGGACTACAGCTACGCCTCCAGCTAGGTGTGGTGGCCTGCGCGTGTAATCCCAGCTACTCAGAGGTTGAGGCAACAGAATTGCTTCAACCCGGGAGGTTGCAGTGAACCGAGATCGCGCCACTGCACTCCAGCCTGGGTGACTGAGCCAGACTCAGTCTAAAACAAACAAACAAAAATAGCCCTTGGGCCGGGCACAGTGATTCACGCCTATAATCCCAGCACTCTGGGAGGCCGAGGTGGGCGGATCACTTGAGGTCAGGAGTTCGATACCAGCTTGACCAAAATGGTGAAACCACATCTCTACAAAAAAAAAAACAAACAAAAAAAACCACACACACACAAATTAGAAATGGTGGTGCACAGCAGATTTATGCACTAGTATTCATTTCAATTTGCCCACATATTTATGATTTTATTTATTTCTTTCTTCCTTTCCAACTGCACATTTCAGGTATTTTTTCTTAAGGCTGATATTTCCAATAAGTATAGGATTAGAGGTTGGTTGTTTCTTCTCTCAGCCACTCAAATATATTATTCCACTGTTTTCTATTTTTTATTGTTGTTTTTGAGAGGTCATCTATTTGAAGGTAATACATGTTACTGAAAAATTCTCAACCATACTTGCTTCATATTTTGCTTTGACCCATCTTTTTTCCCTTCTCCTGGAATCTCAGTTACATTCATTACAGACCCGTTGACACCATCCTATATGTTTCTTTTGCTTTTTCCTGTGTTTTCATTCTGTTTTAGCTTTTTGCTCCAATCTATGTAATTACCTTTCACATATCTTCCAGTTCATCTATTTTTTCTCATCTGTGGCTAATCTACTGTTAAATGCCTCTATTAAGTTTTTTATTTTGTTTGGTGACATTTTCAGTTTTATAATTTTAGTTCGGTTCTTTCTCAAATCTATTATTTCAACACTTATACTTCTATTTTTTTCTTCCAACATTCTTAGTATTATCTTTTAACTTTCAGAATACACTAACCATAGTTGTTTTAGCTTGTGTCTAATAATTCCAATTTCCTATATGTATCTGTTTCTGTTTTTTTTTCCTATTTTTGTTTTGTGTTGATTAGTTTTCTTTTATGTCAGATTGCTTTTTATAGGGTTGTTAACATTGTATCTTAAAATCTTTGCAGAATTAATTTGAAGTGTTTTTTCATTTGCCTCTGTTCTCACCACCAGGTCTGTTCACCCAATAGTGTGAACAGTACAAACAGCTGAGTATAATCACTTAACTGTTTTACTTCTACTAGGCTATGTACAGTGAATTTATTAACAATCAGCCAAATGTATTTTCTACTTTTTTATAGCACTTGTTTGTCTTGAATTTTCTTTTGCTATTTTAAATGTATGGCTAGAGGACTCTTTCTGTAATCACAAGCAGGCCCAAGTTAACATTTTGATATGTTTATGTTACTAGTCTTTGATTTTCTGGGTGGCATTTATTTAATCTAGCTGTGTCTATGCCCCCAAAACACTTAGAGATCAAGGAAAATTTTGAAGGAATAATGCTGGTCAGAGTTCTCCCTGAGGTCTGAATCTAAGTAGTTAATCTTAGTCTTAGTCATCTCTAAAGCAAAGTTTTCTCAATCTTCCAACCTCAGGGTCAAGAAGGAGAGATAGATACCCAGGACGAAGAGTGCCAAGTCATAGCTTTTGCACTGAGGCTCAGTGATGCCCTTTGAGCTTGACTAATTAACACTGCTGCTTCAGGAGACTGAAGACTAAATTGAACAGGACCATACTTCTATTTACCAGTGTTGATTTCCATAACTATCAAGCATTGTATTGTAATGTAATTCTCCTTCCAGGATACATTAAAATATGCAGAGTTGTTTGCGCTGCCTTTAAATGGCCTGGGCATCTCTGATTCTTTTTCAGTTCTAGATCCTTTTCAGCATTAATGCTTCTGCTTGGTCTATTCATTAAGTATATCCAGTAATAATTTATTAAACTGTTGTTTGATAAAGAAACATTTAAGTAATAGGCTGAAAGATATATAAAGAACTTTTTATAGAATATTAAATAATTTTCCTTCTTTGTCAGGAACTTTTTTTAAGTTTATGCAGCTGGTAGTATTTCTTGAAAAAATTAAGTTATTTTTCTGCCTTAATAATGTAGACTATTCATTTAACCACTTGAGATTCACAACAATTTAGATTTAAGCTTCCTTTTCCAATAATAGAAACACTTCAAAAATCTTTTCACCGATATCCTTACTAATTTATTTGAGCGTCCTGTAGACAGTATTCTTTAACATTTGTTCTAATTACCTCACTGTATTCTATTTTAACAGATTTCAGATCAGAACCACAGCTACCCAAGAAAACCCATCTCCAAATTGTGTATGGATTCATGTGTCAGTCATTTATGACCAGCTGTGTAGTGTGCCTTCATATAGTATTTGTGAGAAGAAGTTTTCAATGTAAGGGGAAGGGTGAAGGAGGAAAGAGAAATATGTGAGCTAGTAAGGTGGACAGAAAAAGGAACAGAGAAGAGTAACAGCTGAGGTCAAAATAAATGCAGAAAATGTTTAGTGAGCTTGGCAAACTGTAATCTTAACCAAGAAATTGAAGGGAGAGGCTGTGATTTCTGTATTTGTCGACCTACAGGTAGGCCAGTGTTATTGTTCTACGTGCTAAATCCCTAGACATGGAATCAGGGCAGCTAAGCTTGAATTTTTTTTTTTTTTTTGAGATAGGGTCTCACTTTGTCACCCAGGCTGGAGTGCGGTGGCACAATCTCGGCTCACTGCAGCCATCTCTTGCCTCAGCCCCCCCAAGTAGCTGGGACTACAGGTGCATGTCACCATACCAGGCTAATTTTTGGTGTGTTTTTGTAGAGACTGGATTTTGCCATGTTGACCAAGCTGGTCTTGAACTCCTGGGCTCAAGTGATCTGCCCACCTTGGCCTTCCAAAGTGCTGGGATTACAGACATGAGCCACCACACCTGGCACCAAGCTTGAATTTTCATTCTGCCATTGACTTGGCATTTACCTGGGGTAAACCATAAGCAAGTCTTAATTTCTGGCTCCATCCGAGTTGTTTTTGTGCTCAACAATGCCATTGACGTGCATGGTGTGTTGCCATGATTTGACCCTCAACTTCTAGCAGTATATCAGATATGAACTGAGGGTGAAATATATTTCTGAATAGCTAAATGAAGAAATGGGAAAAAATCTTCACCACAATCAGAGCAATTTTATTATTTTCATCGATCTGATCATAATTATGATTATCATCTTTAAAAAGCAGGAACTCCTGCTTTTTCTTTATCAGTTAAATAACCCAGAGAGTACATCTGCTGTATCTCTAATAGAATCTTGTATAATATGTAATTGTAGGGAAACTGCTCTCATAGGAAAGTTTTCTGCTTTTTAAATACAAAAATACATAGAAATACATAAAATCTGATGATGAATATAAAAAAGTAACCAGTCTCATTGGAACAAGTGTTAACATTTTGGAATATGAAACATGTTTTATTAGTTTTGTGATGTACTGTTTTATAATTTTGACTTTTTTCATTAATTACTGTAAAATGGTATTATTGGAATGAAACTATATTTCCTCATGTGCTGATTTGTCTTATTTTTTTTCATACTTTCCCACTGGTGCTATTTTTATTTCCAATGGATATTTCTATATTACTGGTGAGGCATTTATAGTCCTCTAATGTTGATTAATATGTGAAAAGAAATTGTACCAATGTCACTAAATTATTCACTTTAAAATGGCTGTTTTTATGTTATGTGCATTTCATTTCAATAAAAAAAACTCTTATTAAAAAACCCCTGGCCCCTAAATTATGTGCCTGTGTGTCACAATCCCTATCACAATTTGCCCTCTCCCCAAAAATGATGATGAATTTGGTATGGGTGGAGTGGATATTTACAGTAGATATTTTGATATTAAAGCATTAATTTGAGATCTAAAAAATTTAAAACACCTAAGAGAAGGTAAAGATTTTTGTGAGGTTTACTATTGTTGTTTAATATGCAAATTTGTGTTTTCATTATTTAAAAAAATGTAGAAAGGGAAGAGATAGACAGATGCAGCAAACCACCATGGCACATGTATACCTATGTAACAAACCTGCACATTCTGCACATGTATCCCAGAACTTAAAGTATAATTAAAAATAAATACATAAATAAATAAATGATGTAATGTATAATAAACATAAAAGGAAAGGAAGAGATAGATCAGGCTGAGAACATGAGTATGGTTAACTGTTTTAAGTAGTTAAGGCTTAGGATGGAGTTTGGAAGAGATACCTAGTATTTTAATTTTGGTTTTGTTTTGATTCATTCCTCCCAGGTCCTCAGGATATAGTGAATGAGTCAAGAAATTATGGTAATCAAGGTAAATAACTGGATGCTGAAGATCCAGCTGTACTAATTTAGGACAGGCCAGGCAACCTAACCCATGACGTGAGTTATCATGAAAGTGAGGGTGTAAAGTAAGATTGCTCTAGGTTGTGCAAGACAAAGAGTACCTGACGTGTTGAGATACGTTTATATCACAGCTTATATGGAAATATATATGAATAAACAGAAAACATACACACTTTTCCAAGAGACAGAAAAAGTGAAATAGCTGCTAGCTGAACCTCAGTTGAAAAGTTAAATTCGAGATGAGTAATGATCACACCAGGAGACATGCTGAGGGGCCACCATGTTCACATGTCTGGATTACAGCAATAATTTTTGTAGTAGTGTCTGAGCCTTCACCCTTGTCCTCTACAGTCTATTTTCAAACAAATCAGAGTGAGGCCATTACATTTAAATAAAATCATGTCGGTTCTCTACTGAAAATTCTCATCAACTTCTCATGTATCTCAGAGTAAAAACAAAACCACCCAAAAATGAAATACCTTTGTAATTACCTGTAAGAAGCTACATATTCTGGTCCTCTTAACTTTGAGCTAAACTCCTACTTCCTTTATCTTTACTCATTGCACTCAGGACGCTGGCTTCTCTGTTGTTTCTCAACCATGTCAGGCATGCTTCCACCTCAAGGTACTGGTGATTCTTATCTCCTTTACCTGAATGATTCTTACCTGACAAAGCTGCAGGACCTGGTCTCTCACCTATTTCCCATCTCTGCACAAACATGAGCTTCTTAATGATACTTACTCAGATAACTCTAAAGTTACCAACCCTTTCTCCCTACATTCTTCATCTCCCTTACCTCTGTTTATTTACCATAGCATTTATTATAGTCTAATATACTGTACTATTTACTTATTAGGTTGGTGCAAAATTGCGGTTTTTGCCATTGAAAGTAATGGCAAGAACCGCAATTACTTTTACACCAGACTGATACTTATCTTTCTTATGTATCATCTGTTTTTCCCCATAGAATATAGTCTCTAAAAGGGTTGACAGCTTTGCTGTACATGGATGTATCCAAGAGTCTGAGAATAGTACTTGCCATACAGTTGATAGTCAAAAATATTCTTATTTTTGAAAAAAAACTTTTAAGGAAAAGTAGTATAAATGTTACTATAGGTTGATTATCAAAAATTATTAGTAACATACTTGAATAACCGAAGCTCCGTAAATAGTTCTAATTGCTATTTTATGAGAATCATAATTACAGGCACCTCCTAAGTGCCTTTCTTTCTGATCCCAGCTGTTGTAATTTTTAACCCTCTATCTCTGTTTTATTCACATATGGGCTTTACATAACTTCATCTTCGCAATTTTGACTACCTTCTCTTTTATATGGCTCTCTGATATCCAACCCAATGCAAACAAACAATTTTTGATTTCCTACTTCTTACAAGGCACTGTGCAACAGGAAGGTATTTTTATTTTTATTTATGTATTATTTCAATAGCTTTTGGGGTACAAGAGGTTTTTGGTTACATGGATGAATTATATAGTTGTGAATTCTGTTTGTAATGCACCTGTCAGTCACCTGAGTAGTGTACATTGTACCCAATATGTAGTTTTTTTAATCCCTCCCCCTCCCTTTTCACCTCCTGCTTCTGAGTCATTACATCACTCTGTATGGATTTGCCTACTTATAGCTTAGCTTCCACTTGTAAGTCAGAACATACAGTTTTCGGTTTTCCACTCCTGACTTACTTAGAATAATGGCCTCCAGCTCTAACCAAGGTACTGCAAAAGACATTATTTCATTACTTTTTATGGCTGAGTGGTATTCCATGGTGTATATATACCACATTTTCTTTATCTACTCATTGGTTAATGGGCACTTAGGTTGGTCCCATATCTTTGCAATTGTGAATTCTGTTACTATAATCATACATGTGCAAGTGTCTTTTTCATATACAACAACTTATTTTGGGGTAGATACCCAGTAGCAGGATTGCTGGATTGAATGGTGCATCTACTTTTAGTTCTTTAAGGAATCTTCGTACTGTTTTCCATGGAGGTTGTACTAATTTACATTCCCACCAGCAGTGTATAAGCATTTGCTTTTCACCATATCCATGCCAACATCTATCGTTTTTTTTTGACTTTTTAATAACAGCCATTATTGTAGGAGTAAGATGGTATCTCACTGTAGTTTTAATTTGCACTTCCCTGATAATTAGTAATGTTGAGCATTGTTTCATGTTTGTATATCTTCTTTTGAGAAATGTCTACGTATGTCCCTTGCTCACATTTTGATGGGATTTTTTTTTTTTCTTACTGATTTGAGATCCTAGTAGATTCTGGATATTAGTCCTTTGTTGGATGCATAGTTTGCAAATATTTTGTCTCATTCTGTGGGTTGTCTACTCTGATTATTTATTTTGCTGTGCAGAAGCTTTTTAGTTTCATGAAGTCCCATTTATTTATTTTCATTTTTGTTGCATTTGCTTTTGGAGTATTAGTTATAAATTCTTTGCATAGGCTAATGTCCAGAAGAGTTCTTCTAATGTAATCTTCTGTGATTTTTATGGTTTCAGTTCTTAGATTTAAGTCTTTGACCCATCTAGAGTTGATTTTTGTGTAAGGCGAGAGATTGGGATCCAGTTTCATTCTTCTACATGTGGCTTGCCAGTCTTTTCAGCATCATTTATTAAATAGGTTTATGTTTTTGCATGCTTCAACAAAGATCAGTTGGATGTTAAGTATTTGGCTTTTTTATGGCGGGGGGTTAATGTTTTATTTTAAATGCTTGGATAGCTTCAATACCCAGGTTGTGGCAAAATCAGGACACGTGTAAAATATGTTACATTAGATTCCCCAAAGGTACTAAAAAGTACAGTAAAATTAACCCTTCCATTACTGGAAGTGTATGACATAAATAATATAAAATTAAAAGGTGACACTGGTTTCCTGAGATACAATATACTCTGTACAACCAGGGCCCACAGGTCCAGGCTGCAGCATGCGGCAACAGGAAGCAAAGACTGCCATTTTGTTCTGGAGGACCTGGTACTAAAAATCAGCCAGTAATGCCCCTCCGGCCTCTCAGACACCACACGCTGCCTAAATAACTAGAGCTCTGGAAATAGTAAACAAGAGTGATTTCCGTGTGGGAAATTTTAAATAAGATGCACGTGGGACAAGCCTAGAAAGTCTGTCAAGTTAAATTTGGTACATAATTGTGTTCACTCCATATCCAAACACAGCATGTGTGTGATTGGTTGGTCTCTCCTGCTGCTGTCTCAGTATAGCTTGCAGGTATTCTGAGGGCCACCATGTCACTGCCTGTTGCTGTAGTTTGTACTACCCTGACCACCACCACCACCACCACCACCACCACCACCACCACCACCACCACCTCCGCTGCCTTGTTACCTCAGTTGTGGTTTCCACAGCCCCGAGAACCATACCGTTGCTGCCAGTAAATTTCTTTGGGCTGGGCCACCTTGATCTTACACTTGCTTCCAGTGATAGTATGGAACTTTTTCTCCAGAACCTTCTTCACAGATTTTTTTTTTTTTTAAGGTAATAAACACAAAACCTTGTCTTTTGTTAAACTTTCGATCCAATGAATTTCAATGGCCTCAGTCTCCTCAAACTCGCCAAAGTACTCCCTGATCTTTTCCTCAGTGGCTTCAGGATTCAGACCCTCCATGAAGTCATGTTTCCGGAATTGGTGGGTTCTTGGTCTCACTGACTTTAAGAATGAAGCTGCAGACCCTCCTGGTGAGTGTTACAGTTCTTAAACATGGTGTGTCTGGAGTTTCTTCCTTCTGGTAGGTCCGTGGTCTTCCTCATTTCAGGAGTGAAGCTGCAGACCTTCCCGGTGAGTGTTACAGCTCTTAAAGGCGGCACGTCTGGAGTTGTTCATGCCTTCCGGAGGGTTCGTGGTCTCGCTGGCCTCAGAAGTGAAACTGCAGACCTTACCCCTGAGCGTTACAGTTCAGAAAGGTGGCGCGTCTGCAGTTGTTCATTCCTTCAGATGTGTCTGGAGTTGTTTGTTCCCGCAGGTGGGTTCATAGTCTCGCTGGCGTCAGGAGTAAAGCTGTAGACCTTCGCGGTGAGTGTTACAGCTCATAAAGGTGGCGCGTCTGGAGTTGTTAATTCTTCCCCGTGGGATCATGGTCTCGCTGCCCTCAGAAGTGAAGCTGCAGACCTTGGCAGTGAGGACTACAATTCATAAAGGTGGCACGTCCGGAGTTGTTCGTTTCTTCGGATGTTTAAATGTATCTGGGGTTGTTCGTTCCTGCCGGTGGGGCTCGTAGTCTCACTGGCTTCAGGAGTGAAGCTGCAGACCTTTTGCAGTGAGGGTTACAGTTCATAAAGTTGGCGCGTCCGGAACTGTTTGTCCCTCCTGGTGGGTTCCGGGTCTCGCTGGCTTCAGGAGTAAAGCTGCAGACCTT